GGGATATTAAAAATAGTTGATTAGGGCCTGTTTTCGTAAAGCCACTCTAGGACAAGGGGAGTGCAGTCTGACTGGTAAAGGTTGTAGGAAGTTTCATGTGGTGCATTCCTATAATTTCAATGTGAAAAAAATGGATTCTGGGAGGCTGCCGTGGTTGTTCAGTAACGGTAAAATCTGGCAAGGACCGTAATGCCTTGACCATTCCAAGTTTCCTCTTTGCAGCCGGAGTCCTGAGACTAAACCAGATAAAATTGCGGTATGTCCTGGCATTTTTTTTTAGTGTAGCGTACCTTGCTTAAGAGCACAGGGAATTCTCTGGAGAACTAGGGCAGCATCTGGGTACTTTGCAGCTCCCGTGATTATGTAAATTTATATAGCTCCAAATGATCCATCATGTAGTGAATTGGGGGAGATTTTTATGGTGGTTTATTTCTTTTTTTTTTTTTTTTTTTTTTCCTCCTAACTTGTAGTTATTCTTTTTATCTGGACCATCTGTTTCTTTAAAGTAGTTGACAGTCATGTGCAGCCCGAACGGCTGGGAGGCTCTTGTTTGGATGGATTTTTTTGATAACGTGTTGTATCGCTGTTTATTTTTACTGGTAGTAAAGTACAATCTCTTGGACAAAAATACTGTATCTCATGCTGAAGATTTAACCGAAACCAATGTTTGTATACTCTTAACCTTGCCTGTCTTTTGTGTAGAAGTACTACAAGACTTTTTCATTTAGTGTAAACTGTTTGAACACAAGCTGTAATTGTCCCACTAACAAGTTTGAGTTTGTCTGAGGAATGTTACAGGAATGCATTATTAAAGTGGATTTTAAGCCTTTTTTATCTGGTGTCTTGTCTCTTCTGTTTTTTTTTAGTATAAACGTGTACATATGGGTTATGGTGCAGAAGTTGTTCTTGAGTAGCTTTATAAAGGGGGCTCCGGGGAGACCTTAGAGCCCCTTCCAGTCCCTCAAGGGGCTCCAGGAAAGCTGAGGGGGGACTCTGGATGAGGGAGGGGAGCCATGGGACGAGGGGGAAGGGTTTGGCCCTGAAAGAGGGGAGATTGAGATGAGATCTGGGGAAGAACTTCTTTGCTGTGAGGGTGGTGAGAGCCTGGCCCAGGTTGCCCAGAGAAGCTGTGGCTGCCCCATCCCTGGAGGGGTTCAAGGCCAGGCTGGATGGGGCTTGGAGCAACCTGGTCTGGTGGGAGGTGTCCCTGCCCAGGATGAGACTGGATGGTCTGGACTCCCCATGAGCCCTGCTGGGACGTGCCCAGGTTCAGCCAGTGCAGGGAAGGGGATGCTTTTCCAGGTGAAGTCTGGTGACTGCCATGAAGAGACACCCCTGCCTTTCGCTGTCACCTGATCAGCTGGTTTAAAATGCAGTTCCGCAGTATCAGCTCATATCAGACCGAGGAGCAGCCTGGTGCTTATTGCTTTCTTCTTAGCTTCAAACCCTTGTCAGTTGTGGGCTTCAGAAGTTACAGCTTGTTCTTTTGCGCAGCTTCCCCTTAAAAAACGGTGACTGCCTCTGCAAGAATCAAAGATGACTGGATGGTCTGGACTCCCCATGAGCCCTGCTGGGACGTGCCCAGGTTCAGCCAGTGCAGGGAAGGGGATGCTTTTCCAGGTGAAGTCTGGTGACTGCCATGAAGAGACACCCCTGCCTTTCGCTGTCACCTGATCAGCTGGTTTAAAATGCAGTTCCGCAGTATCAGCTCATATCAGACCGAGGAGCAGCCTGGTGCTTATTGCTTTCTTCTTAGCTTCAAACCCTTGTCAGTTGTGGGCTTCAGAAGTTACAGCTTGTTCTTTTGCGCAGCTTCCCCTTAAAAAACGGTGACTGCCTCTGCAAGAATCAAAGATAAGCCTGAAAAATCCAACAGGTACCTGGATAATTTTGTCACATCAAAGCAGTAGACAAACATTTCCTCTTTTTTTTTTTTTTGTTCTGGTGCAGTGCATCTCACTAGAAGCTGTCATTTATCACAGAAAGCTACAAGTGGTGGAATATGATAAACGACCTCTCCAGTGGGAGAGCTGAGAGAAGGAAGATGTGATTTCCTGAGGCCTTGTTGAAAGAAGCCATTGTTCCCTCGTCTGTCTTGGTCACAGCTCAGGTTCCTCCTTGCCTGTCTGGCAGGTGAGCTGAAGGCCAGAGGTAGCCAAAGGGGGGGGAAGAAAGCAGGGAGCTTGGCCAGGCACGATGCTGCCTTTGGGACACTGTCCCTCACTCCAGCCCGGCTGCTCTGCTCTGGCTGAGCTCATGGTGACCTCAAAGGAAAACCTGTAAAACCCCAACTTCCCCTCAGCTCAGGCTATTTCAGGCAGCAGGTTTTTTTTCCTCATGGATGCTGGCTAATGACAGGAAAACTCAATTTTAGGGGTAGTCCAAACTCTTTGGACTATTTCCTGTTGAGGACTGAAGTGCCCTTTCTGATGAGGAATTACTGCGTGTGTTTTCAGAGTGAGCTCCAGAGTAATTGGGCTCCTTTAGCAGCTCAACTCTGAGACAAAATTGCCTCTGGGAACAAGAGGCTTCCTGAACTACAGGGAGAAAAATCCCCATCAGCTGAGCAGCTGATTCCAGTCTGGAAGTGTAACTGTTCAGCGAGACTGGAGCATTGGGACCGTAGCCCTGTAATAACCCAAGCTGCACAAGGGTGGAGTTCTTGAATGGAGAGATGAAGATTGCCCACAGCCCCATTTCCGATGGTTTTCTGGTCTTTCTCAAACCTGTTCTCTGAGCTGTTGAGTACAATCAGCACAGACCTCTTGGGCAAGGGCTTTGGTTCTGCTGTGCCCTTTTCTGGGTGTGCCCTCAGTCAGTTTGCAGAGGACTCTGAGTTGGGTGGGAGTGTTGACCTGCTGGAGGGTAGGATGGCTCTTCAGAGCGATCTGGACAGGCTGGATCGATGCGCTGAAGCCAATGGTGTGAGGTTCAACAAGGCCAAGGGCCGGGTCCTGCACTTGGGTCACACCAGGCCCATGAATGCTCCAGGCTGGGGGCAGAGTGGCTGGAGCTGCCTGGCAGAAAAGGACCTGGGGGTGTTGGTGGACTGTGGGCTGAACAGGAGCCAGCAGTGTGCCCAGGTGGCCAAGAAGGCCACCAGCATCCTTGCCTGTGTCAGGAACAGTGTGGGGAGTAGGACTCAGGAGGTGATGGTGCCTCTGGACTGGGCACTGGTGAGGCCCCACCTCGAGGGCTGTGTCCAGTTTTGGGCCCCTCACCACAAAAAAGACATTGAGGGGCTGGAGCGGGTCCAGAGAAGGGCAACGGAGCTGGTGAGGGGTCTGGAGCACAAGTCTGGTGAGGAGAGGCTGAGGGAGCCTGGAGAAAAGGAGGCTGAGGGGAGACCTTCTCGCTCTCTCCAACTCCCTGAAAGGAGGGTGTAGCCAGGGGGGGTCGGTCTCTTCTCTCAAGGAACAGGCCATGGGACAAGAGGAAACAGCCTCAAGCTGCCCCAGGGGAGGTTTAGGATGGATATTGGGGAAAAATTCTTCATGGAAGGGGTTGTGAAACATTGGGATGGGCTGCCCAGGGCAGTGGTGGAGTCACCATCCCTGGAGGGATTTGAAAGCCGGGCAGACGTGGTGCTGAGGGACATGGGTGAGTGGGGGTTTTGATCAGAGTGAGGTTGAGGGTTGGACTCGATGATCTGAAAGGTCTTTTCCAGCCCAGACAATTCTATGAGCCTCCGACAGCAGCCTGTGCAGCGCTGGCAGAAGAAGAGCAGCCGGGCAGAGCTGTAGTCTAATTACTCAGCACAAACTCTTACAGGGAAGATTATATTTCCCAAATACCTCAGACGTGAATCCTGCCTACTAGCTTTGTGTAGCAGTAATACGTACGTCAGGGATTTTCCTTCTCCTAATGAGCCTTTTGTAGGAGGAACTGCTCCAGGCTGTAGAAATGCGCTCCCTTCCAGCTGCCCCAGCCCAGGGGCCAGGACCGAGCTGCGTTTCTCTCCCTGGAGGCATCCAGCATGTTCTCCCCAGGACTCTGGGGGCTGTTCTGCTCTGACCCTGGCAGTTCCGGGGCAAATACATTAAGTTGGGTTTGAGAATCGATTGGTCCTTTTTTTCCCTGCCTCCTTTTTGTTCTGAGATATATCAAAGCGAGTGCACGTAAAGCCAAAGAGACTTTATTTTTAATTCTCAGCTGGCCCGTTCCTTGCGAGCTGTCTCCAAGGCGTTGGTCAGGACTGGCCCTGCTCGGCTGGTGACTCCTGACTCACTTGGAGCTCTGCCCCCGAGGAGGGTTGGACTGGGCAACGCAGCCCCGTGGCCCAAACGCAACTGCCAGAAGACACAGCTTCACACTAGGTGCTGGGCAATGGATGTGGAGTCCAGCAGGTTCCCTGGCACCACCTGAACCTCATCTCCTCTTTTTCCTAATTTTTAAAGCCCCCGCTCTGGCAAGGCCTTGAGTCTGCTGGTGGCCGACTGAGCAGTTGTCCTGGAGGTCTCCCCTGTTTCCTGGTGTCCCCCCTCACCTTGTCCTCCCTGGGGAGCTCCCCCTTGGGCTGAGAGCTGTGGACACCCCCCGCTCTGGCAAGGCCTTGAGTCTGCTGGTGGCCGACTGAGCAGTTGTCCTGGAGGTCTCCCCTGTTTCCTGGTGTCCCCCCTCACCTTGTCCTCCCTGGGGAGCCCCCCCTTGGGCTGAGAGCTGTGGACACCCGGTGAGCCGGTGAGCCACTGTGCTGTCTTCCCAGTAGGTTCAGACCCAGTAGGTCTTTCCAGCCACCTTGTTCCCTGCCAGGGTTCGCAGGGGTGCAGCAGAGGAGCGAGGGCAGGGCAGTGACACCCCCCGCAGGTGCTGAGGGGGCTTTGCTTGGCTGCAGCCCCCCCAGT